GGAATGGCATGGGTAAGTTGTGTTTTAAACCTGATAATTAAGGCCTAATCTAAAGTTATCGTCTACGTTGAACAGATAAAAACAAATCCTTAAGCCAGAATGTTTCTGGGGCTTGATGGACAAGTGGCTATCGATCTGGCGCTTGGTCGCCCAGGTATGGGGTTCGAATCGGCGGTGTTATGGGTGTTTGAGGAAGGTGTTCGGAATCCATATTAAGCTGTAGGTCCAGGATCTCCATATGACCGTAAAGAGTCACACAAGAGCCCAATCAGAATTCTTCTCCCCACATCATTCCCCAACTGTAAAGGGAGCAACTCAGCTCTAGGCACAGTGATGTGGTGTGGCTGGTGATACTTGTAGTAGTAGCCAGAAAATTTCCACCATTGGGCCTTAAAAAGAAGGAATACAGTACGGACACTCACCAAAATTTGTCATATCAAAATGCGGTGCAATATAACCACACCCCTGGTAATACACAATTGGCCCACTATGGAAAATGGTGAATCGGCTGCATATTTGCCCCGTTCAAATGATTTTTAGTCAAAGACCAGTATTCAAAATTTTATTGTAATTGTCCGACGTGCTGATTTACTGAAGCATTAGGGCTATTAAAAAAGTATATATTTTGGATTACGGATAGTATATTGGTATCTGTGTCTTTTACATTAGCAATCGCAGCCTCCCTCCCATATTATGTATGTGCGATTACATTCTGACAATACAGAAATGGATAATTTATAAACATTCGTAAAAAAGAATATTTTATATAAAAACCTCCATGAAATAAGTTTTTCCTTGTAATTACATTAACATAATTTTCTTGCAATATTAGAAGAATATTTTTTTTTATTTTCAATATCTATTATCCCTATTTTTTACATTTAATAGTTTTTAAACAAATTAAATAGTTATTAATTAAATTAGTGACTGAATGAATTAATTTAATTAGCAAAATATATATAGGCCTATATTTAACTGTATTATTATTTATACGTTAAAATGCTTTTAATATTTAAATTCTTTTCTAAATCTACTATACAGGTTGTATTATTTCACATGTTGTTTTCAATAATCGCTAAACAAATTTGAAAATATTTATTTAATTTTAAAGGAAACATTTCCTTCATTTTATAACTTTTTATCTAAAATTAGAATTAAATATTTATACTTTAAAACCCAATAAACATTTAATATTACGAAATTCAGAAACTTACCCTAAGAATATGACAGGACATTTAATGTACACAGAAATTAAATCATACAAGATGTTATGTATCTTCTAAACTGACTAAACTAAAATCATACATAAATATGAAGAGGAAACTTTAAATATTGCTCTTTTATAATTATTCGGTACAGCCGATGGTGATTGGAATATTATTGATTATTATGCTGTATTCGTATGTAAAGCACTGTCATCCACGATGTTAATCTTCATTAGCCTTTACATGTTTATATTAAAGAGAACACTTCAATTGGCAGCTGCAGATAATGCGCTTAGACAGCACACGCAGCAAATTGCTTTAAGTCGAAAGTTTCTACCGTTGGGAAACTAAAAGCCATAAGTCGGATTGTTTATATTTATGGAAAGATAATTAAATAAATTTTCAGAACCCCAAGAATCAATAAATTATTATATAATTAATAAATCATAACTGTATGAATCAGATATTGGATATGGAGGAATTTTTGAAACTTTTTTTTTTTTTGCCAAAGGTTTTTGTATTTTTGCTTTTAATGATTATTAAATGTGCTAATACGTTGATAGATTATTTGAATTTATTAATTTATAAAAATTAACGTTGTACTACTATTCTCTATTGTAATAAGTATTCTGGTATACGTTGTAATAAAATTATTATAAATGATTTAAGTTGTTAAATTTAAATCTTTGAAAACATAAATGAGAATTGTCTAGAAATTATTTATGTATGATGCTTCTTTTATTTATTAAATATTGTTCGATTTCTGCTAATGTATTTACTATTTTTTATATTGATATAACATCCTTTATATTTTTAATCTCTTAATATTTATTTTAATCTTATGTGCTTATATTAAATTCAGTTGAATTCGTAATCCAATATTTTTTGTTTTCTGTTCATAGTTCGACAAGTCACTGATTATGTCAGGATCTAAAGGAAATACGTAAATGAAATGCAATGCAAGAATGCAACATCTGATATAAGGAAAGCATTTCTTAAATGATTTGTTCCTTGAATTCATAAAATTGATTACAAATTTTATTAGGAAAATTAACTCAATGACAATAATTATCTTACGTCCTTTTTGACCTTAGTATTTGATATAATATTTAAGAGATAGGAGTGAAAATTACAATTAACTAGATTAGGTGGAACAGCAGAAAAATGATCTCTGCAGTACATGGTATTTATATACAACAATCTGAACAACTCAAATCATTAAATTATTGAAACCAATGATGAAAATTAATTTAAACATAAAAATATAAAAAAATAGGATTAGTAAATTGTTTTTAAAATTTAAATTTGTGTGATGTCAAATATGTACAAAAACACAAATAAATTTTTTATATTCTTCTTATATACTTAAAAAGAACATGAATGAGTAAAAAACAAAATAAAGATATGATTTTTTTTTTTTTTTTTTTAGATTCATAAATATTTCAGAATAAAATAATGCAGAATGAAAAAATGCACTATATTTAAAAGAAACTTAAATGCACCGTTTAATTCAGGGAAGTAAAAAGACAACAGCCATTGCTTTTGTAGTAGCTAGCATCATATGAATCCCCTCATATCATATGTGTACAAAATAAACATGGCAGTAAATGATTCAAATACTTTTATATTTTAATGAAAAGTGCATGTAAAAAACATTTTTGTCAGTTGTACATTGGTCTGGATATTAATGATTATGCATTTATTTCTTATCCTAACACAAAAATGTTGGCTATTAAAACATTGGCAAACGAGAATCATCAAGAATTCATTCATGGCCTTTGTCAAATGCCTGTTCCATTAAAGTCGTGTGTGTTGAACACGATTTTTTTGATGCCATTATTATATATACATTAAAATGTTTATTTGTATATTAGTGAAATAACCCCTTCATTTAATTATTTTTAAAAATTTTTATAAATGAAAAATACTCAAATATTTTTTATTCTTAATTATTAAAAATCGAACCAAATACTAAATAAATTAATTCATCAAATTTTTATTTACATTTTAAAATCCTTCTATTAACTCCTAAATTCCTTCTATTTACTTTCCCTATATATATCTATATATCTTATCTTCAAATTTTCAATCGTTAATAAAATACTTTTTATTCATCCACTCAAGTTCAAATACATTTTTTTTTTAACTGACGCTGGATGTTAATACACAGTTTTTTTCAAATTTTAATTAATTAATTAAATTAAATTAAATTAATTTAGATTTTTTTAGATTTAAGTTGCATGTATCTACCAGTAGATGGCACCAGATAAACCAGATATTTATAAAGGACTTCCTGTAATATAGTGAGAAAAAGAAGAAGAAATTGACTTTATATTTTTTTCTTTATATATTACTTGTTATACTATTATATAATTTGTTTTCTGTTATATTATTTTCATATGAGAATGAAATAAATATATAATATATAATGTCCATCAGTTAGAAGAACTGAAAGGCAACTTAATTAAAAATAGTATGTAACCTACAGAATTAGAGGTCTGTCTATCTCTGGTCTAAACTTTAAAAAAAGAAAAAAAATGCTATAATTTATTTCTAAAAGTCTTAAATGTTGATTTTTTTTTTTCATTTGATTTCTTGTTCTAAATAAATTTACTGTTTCATTTTAAAAAATATCGATATTTTAATTTAGTATAAACAAGACACATTAAAGAAATATACGAATATATAGCATAAATGAAAAATACTGCATTAATGTGGAAATATGTGCATATTATTAAAAAATATAATTGAGAGACATTAAAAAAAAAAATGTTCTAAATTAAAATCTACTGAAATTTTCAAAAATAAAATGAAAAAAAGTAAATTTATGTAGAACAAGTAAATAAAAGAAAATAATAAAATAAACATTTGAGACTCTTAGAAATAAATTATATTTTTTTCCTTTTTTTTTACTTCATACCAGAGATCGATAGATTTCTAAAATCTGTAAGTTATATAATATTTTTAGTTAACGTTCCATTCAGTTCTTTTGCAATTAATGGAAGTTATATATATTACATAAATTATTTAATTCTCATAAAAAAAAAAATAATTTAATAGAAAACAAATTATTTGCAATAAAAAAAAAAAAAAGAAGAAGAAATTTGACTGGAAATATTACATAAATTTGTTGTATGTTTTAGTATTTATTAATTAAATAGTATTAAACTGTAATTCTCTATTCTATATTGTAATGTATAATTAATATTGTTATTTTAAATAAAAATAAATTAAAACTGACATACTTACTTAACTTAACTTACTAAAACTTTACATAAACCATTTTAAAAATCTATTTCATTTAATAAGTCAATTTTATGAAATTGGATACAAATGCATTGAATCAGCATAGAAAGAAAATATTCTTGTGGCAAAAAATTTATCAAATGATATCGTAATTTTTCAATTAATGCAATTTAAGTTTTAGCTTGAACTTCATTGAGTTAAATCAGCATTGAAAATTAATTGAATTAGTTAAGAAGTCAAAATATAAAATATAATTCTGGAAATTTAGCACAATTTCTGAAATATTTTCTTTTGTAATTTATCGAAAACGTGTTTCTTCTTATTCCACTTGGCTGGCCAAGCCCACGAGATGTACTCATGATTGAAGGGGAAGGAAGCAGCCTCTGTTTTGTGATAGAGCACCCGTATCTGACTTTGGCTCCGTGATGCTTCAGTCAAAAGACACAGCTTAAAAATTCAACCACTACAAATATCCAGGGCACCGCCGGGGGACGAACCCGAATCCTGTGGCACCGAGCACTCATTCAGGTCCCAAATTTGTGAAATGTTCAGGTGGTCACCCACCCAAGTACTGACCGCGCCCAATGAACTTCTGTGATCTAATGAGAACCGGTATATTCAGTATGGTATGGCCGTTGACATTAACGTAGAAAGATGAATAATAAAATCTCTTTATTTCCGAAAAAGTTCAACCAAATACGACAAATATATATGAAAATGCATAGTTTTAAAACGCATATTTTTAGATATATCTGTCAATTGTGTTCTGAGCGTTTTAAAAAGCATTATAAAGCTAGAAAAGGAATTTTTAAACTACTACTGTCAGTAAAATTCATATATTTTCTTCGAAATTTATTCTTTCATTTTTGTTTTTGTATTCTTCTCAAGGTGAAAAATAGCTTTAGAACACAACAGATCTCTGTCATCAGCTTTAGAAACAGCTGCTAATGGTTGCCTTTCATTTTTCACTTTTATTTCATTTCTCTTTGGTAAACCAGAGGGTTCCTGCTTCAAAAGTGTATTTGCAGTACAATTCTTTTTGTCTTTGTTAGTTGATTTTTAAAATAAATAATTTTAGGAAAACAACATAATAAATATATTCATTAGATCTTATTATTAGTTAATATCGACTGTTTAATATTGCAATCAAAAATTGTTTCCACAAAATAAATATAAAAAAAATGTACAGTATTGAATTGTTGTAAAAATAAACTTATTTAACTCGCTTAATATAAATGAAAACGTTTTTAAGCATTATTCAGAGTATTTTCATTTTATATACTTCATGCAACACTAATTATCTCAAAATAAATGGAGAATAAAGTAATGTAAACATATCCTATTGAAATCCTTTAATAAGGAAGTTTCTGTAAAAATTAATATGTATTTTATGTCACTAAGGCAAATAATCTTTTATAATATATTAATGGTAAATAAGGTTGTTAAATAGTTTTGCAATGGATTTCTAACTTTTATTTGAAAGGATATTAGGATTGAAGCACCAAAATAAAAAATAAAAAATATTAACTTAGGTTTGTAGTCAAGAAAAAAAAAATATGTAATTTTATTGAATGATAACAAGAAATGAATTTTAAAAAACAAATTGTTTTATCTTTTATATAAATTTTTACTTTTATACCATAAAATTAACAAAATTTATTTATTTATGTATGTAATTTAGGTAACTTATTAGATGAAATTATTGTGATTATAGCAAAGGATAAACAAATCCAAAAGAAAAATTAAAAGCAGTAAATGTTAAATACATAATTATAATTATTTAAAAATATACAAAGACGATTTATTTATAATTATAATTTAGTTAAATCTTTAAATGGGCTACAGATTAAACCTCAAAAATTTTTTAAAAATGTAATTTCTATGCTAAAGAAGATATCGTATTTGCCAACATTAAAAACGTTACAACACTTTAATCAAACACAATAAGAAAAGTAATACTATAAAGTAACACCATGATACTTATAGTAATAAGAGAAAAGTAACACTATAAAAGCATACCTGTTTACACAAGTGAATACACATTGTTATAACAAGGAATGAATACGAGGAGTTGAACTTGCAATTCACCTTCTCCGTGAATTAGGTAGATCTTTTTTTTTTTTCCCTGCTGCTGTTTCCAAAGAGGAATGATGCTTTTCCTCTTAAAACTGGTTTGCCGATAGTGTCTCAGTTACTTTAAATAATATTGGGGGTGATCTTAACTGATATTTTTTATGTGTGTGGGGTGGTAAAGATGGCATTTTATAAACCAGTTGTTCAGGTGGCTTGTAGTTTGGGAAAAATTTGCAAATACATCTCCTGGAAAATATGTTTTAGGGAGATATTAAAAAAAAAAAATATGCAAACTCGTAAGGAAGGTGAAAAAATATTTAATTCTAGTGGATATATTTATATAAATTAAAAATAAAAATAAAAATAATAAAAAAACAATGAAAGAGAGATGAAAAAAAATGGAGTTTTATGTACATTTGTAAAAAAAAAAATTTGTAAAAAAGATCCACCTCCTAAAGTGAAATTTAAAAATATTTTTCATATCTCTATTTGAATCAAAAATCAGATCATTTAACAATAGTGAAAGAGAAAAATTAATAGTAGCCATATGCTATAGAAAATATTTGAAACTTTAGTTATTGATTAATGTATTTAATTGTGTATGTTTAGAAATTTAAATATTTTTAAAGATTATACAAATGTCCATTTGTCATTTTAAATGAAATATAATCCTAAATTATAAAATTATCATAAACATTAAACAAATCTAAAAATAAGAAATTTTAAAAACTCTTGTTCCTGATATACCATAGCTAGTATTATCATGTCACATACAGAACAAATTACACAAAACGTAATATGATTTCCATTGTTGTATACTAGGCAACGATCTAAAGATTGAAAAAAACATCATTTCATATTTCAATTTTTTTTTTTCTACTTGTTATGTTGTTCCTAATTGCAATTTATATACAAAAAAACAATTTTATACCTTGAAGCTTAGGATCTCCTTGTGTGATATTAAAAGATGGCATTAAACTCACAGCTAGACAGGATTTTTTTTTCTTGAAATGTAACTCAGTTAGCTATAATTGCATTTCATTTTTAAATTTTCATAGTTCTGTAGAGTGAATTTTTTATGTTTCCTATCTTCATGCTTTAATTAAGCATGAATTTTTACAGTGATATTTTTTTTTCAATTTAAACATATCTAAATACAGAAGAAGAAATTATTCCTTGTATATTTGATTTTTTCTCTTATTTGTACATTTGTTATCACTTGCATTTCATCAATTATCTTTGCTACCCTCGGAACATACTTTTTGTAAACGTGAACGTTAATTTATGTTTTAAATAAAACTTTTGTCACGTACGAATTTTTGTGAAGAAAAAATACAAAAGAGAACAATAATACAGTGCCTAAAAAAAGTAAGACCAATTTTTTTTTTTTAAAACTCTTTATTTCTTCCAAATTTATTTCCTCTCCTTCAAAGTAATCCCTTCTGAACACAATGCACTTATGCCAACTTTATTCCCAATCCTCAATGCATGCTAAAGGACATTGGCAGCGGATGGCCTTCAAAGCGCCCGGCGATTCACTTTGAATCTCTTCAGTCGACTCAAAACGATGCCCCGGGAGTGGTCATTTTGAGTTTAGGGAATAGCCAAAGTCTCACGGTGTGAATAAGGTGGGTTGATGGAACGATATGGGTTTCATTTTTGGCGAAAAAGTCATGAAGAATCAATGCAATGTGAGCTGGCGCACATTCTGGGTTTTCAGTACCAATACAGATTTGACGCGTTTGAGGCCCAAAATGGAATTGACCGATCCTTTCGAAATTCCAACATCATAAGCAATATCTATAATTGTAAATCGACGATTTTCAAGCACCAAATCTTTAATTTTTTGGACGTGAGCTTGACGGTTGAAGTTGATGGTCGACCAGAGGGCTCTTCGTCTTCAACGCGTTCTCTGCCTTCTTTGAACTGTTTAAACTGCTTCTAAACATTTCTTTCCGATATAAGAATGCTCACCGAGTGCCATCTGCTACATACTATACGTTTCTGCAAACAAATTAAATGCAAGCTCTTTGCTCAATTAATTCATAGATTTCAAAAAAAAAAAAATCACAAGAATCAGTTTTAGTGTCTCACAAAGCCAAGCATAAGTCCAACACTAATGAATATTTTGACGTCATATTCCACACAGATGTCAAGAACAGTGCCAGCAACCAAAAAAAAAAAAAAAAAAAAAATTGAAATTCCATAAGCCCGGGAAATTTAAATTGAAATTTGGTCTTACTTTTTGGACACAGTGGTATCCTTATGGCAGATGATAAAAAATTGTCCCCGAGATAAAAACGGTGACAACGGTGTGGAATCATCCATGAGGCAGAAAAAGACAATCATATTTATCATAAGTGAATTAAATTTCTCAAGAGATTTACGAGCGGGAAACAATGAAAATTTATAAAGTATCGAGAAATACCTGAAAGAGAACAGGTAGATTAGTCGATAAATAATGAAAAATGGACTTCCTGGAAGATTATGATAGTAAGAGTAGACGTCGAGGCAGGAGATTAACTTTGTTGACGTCCTGAAACAATTTAGGATTATGAGAGTCTATAACTGAGTCTAAAAAAAAATATCTTAATTTGTTGCATGATTATATATTTTTTTCTTTTGACATTTTTGTTTATTTATATAGAGATTTTATAATAAAAACAAATCTCTAATTTTTAATTTAACTGTATTTTATTTTAACTCATCAAGAACAGAAAATAAATAAGTAAAGCACATGTCTGCCTATGTGTTTTTGAATTATTAGCAGAATGTTTTCATACATATAATCTGAAAAGGTATTTCTTAAATGTATTGAACCTCGTAGCAATTTCACCATGAATTTTGGTTGTATTTATTGGAATATTGCCATACAATACCACATGTACAAAATATTATGTAACGATAAATATATAATAAATAAACGAGATAGAGTCCTGACTATAATTGATTTTGGTATGCAAATATAATTCAACATCTAAATGATTTAATTTTGGCTATGAATGCATAGTTGGAGTTACAGAGCAAATAAAAATGGAGGAATTTTAATTATAAATGTAATTTTCATTCGAATATGATTCTAGTATATATATTTAAATAATGAACTAATACACTCATGTCCATAAATTAAGGATAATGATGTTCAGGCAAAGAAAGAGACAGAATCATAACTAATTTTTAAAAGTCTACTTTATTAAACAAAAGGTTGTTATATGTTTGACATTTAATAAAATTGCGATTTTTATTCCCTGATTTCAAAAAAGAACTCATTTACAAAAACAGTATAACATAAAATGATGGTTAATATTCAGTATGTCTCCGGACAAAAAACGCCTAGGCATGCTGAGTATCAAATTGAATCTGATCTTAATTAACATCACTCAAATTGCCCTCCGATTTTTTATAACTATGCCCTGGAGCAAATTTCAAAAAAGAACCTTATCTTACAAAAAACTATCATCTGGTATATATTCTTCTTCAAGATGGTGTGTGATAATTCTACAGATGGTTTTTATTTTAGAGTTCAATTTCTTCGTTGTTCTGAATTATCCTTAATTTAAGGA